GGCAAGACTTTGAATTGGTAGCACCCAATTGGGCAGTTAAATGCAGTCTTCCATTCATCCCCTTCCTTAATTCTCACATGATAGTAAGCTTCCCTTAGGTCTAGTTTAGTAAAAAAATTTCTCTTTTGAGAGGTGTGACAACATGTCCTTCATGAGGGGCAGGGGGTATAGGTTATTTTCACTGATTGTATTCAGGAGCCTATAATCCACGCATAAGCATAAAGAGCTGCCCTTCTCACTAAAGAGGACTGGGGCGGCCACTTTAGGCTTGGCTGGCTCAATGAACCCCCTTTCTAGGTTTTTCTTTATGAATCTTTCCATTTCCTCCTTCTCCTTTGGGCTCATGGAGTATAATCTGGGCTTCAGGAGTTTTGCCCCAGGCTTGAATTCAATGGCACAGTCTGTGGGTCGGTAGGGGGGAGCTCATCCGCCCTCTCCTCACTGAAAATGTCAGCAACATCTCTGTATTCTTCTGATATTTCTGGTAATCCCTTTTCCTCTCCCATGGATGCTTTTTCCGTTCTTAATTTTGATAGCTCCCCTTGGGATTTTAAGTCCATAGGGTCCCCCTTCGGGAATTTGATTTCTGTCATCCTCCAATTTACCCAGGGGTTCCATTTTTTTAACCATTCCATCCCTAGGATCATTGGGCATTCCATGCCTGGGGTCACTACAAACGTTATGTCTTCCTCATGTTTGCCCAGGGAGAGGTCTATTGGTAAAGTGGCTAGGGTAGCTGGCACCCCCCCCCACTGCTATGGATCCATCTAACTGGCCAAATGAGATTGGTTGTTCCAGTCTCCTCGACGAAATGCCCAGATTCCCCAGTAGCGTCGGGCTAATGAGGCAGTGGGTGCAGCCAGAGTCTATTAAGGCTTTCACCTTGACAGCTTCTGTCATGGGTGGAATTAATATAGTCACTGTCTTGAGGATGGATGCGATGGGTCCAGTTACCAGGGGTTTGTCCTCCAAGCTGTCGTCTGAGGCGTCCACCGGCCCTGCAGTGTAGGCTGGAGTTCTTTCCCCATGATGGACAGAGGTAGGGGATTCCACAGCCTCCATCACTCTCATGGCAGATTCTTTTGCCTTAGCTGGAGACTTCCCAGATCTGCTGGCTGGTGATCTGTCTGGGTTGTGCTGGGAGGCTTTTGAGCGGCCTTCTACAGCTCGATGCCCCTCTCTCCCACACTTGAAACACCCCATTCACTTCTTGGCCATAGCCAATGGTTTCACTGGTTCACGTGTCAACTCAGGCGGTGAGCGGCTCCATTGTTTTCCTCGGCAGTGCCTCTTCAGTAGGTCGATCTCTGCTTCCTCTGCCAGGATGTACCATTCATCAAGTTGGTGTGGGTCCCCTCAGGGCAGGCAAGCGTCATATAGGTCGTAGTTTAGCCTGTCTTTGAAATGGCTAAGGAGGATGTCTTCTGGCCAATTCAGTTTGCTGGCAATGGCCCGGAATTCTTGCGTATATTCGGCTACCGGGCGTTTGCCTTGCCTCATCGTTTTTATCCTTTCACGGGCTTTGCAATCAGCCAGGGGGTCCTCAAATCACCTTCTCAGAGAGGACATAAAACGGTTGAAGTCATTGAGCTCTGGGGCATTGGGGTTGTGCAAGTTCACCACCCAATCTGCGTCCGGCCCATCCAGAGCAGATTGCATGATCCGGATACGGGCTTTGTCGCTTGGGATGTGCCGCCCGTATTCCTCCATGTAGCTGAGCGTGTCGGCTCCCCCTTGAATCTCACGTCTAGCGGCGGGAGTCTTTGAATGGATCGGTGCCTTCATTGTTGGTGGTAGTGTCTTCCATCCAGATCTCCATCTGTGGGTCGGTGGGGAGTGGGGACTACTGGATCAGCAGACGTTCCCGGGGCTGCAGGTTCCATTTCCCACTTGGTGTCTCTCCTGTTGCTGCTCCAGGAGCTGGTGTGGCTGTAGGGCTCAGAATTCTCCTCTCCTAGGGAGCTGAGGGTTCTCTTCATCAGGTCGATAGCTTTCTCTAGGATCCAGCCTAAGTACAGTGTCCAGCTCCCTTCCTCTTCACTTGCATGCAGGGATTTCCCCATCTCCTGCTTCCATTCTGGTTGGTTGGCCTCCCGTCTTAGGGTCACCTTTCTGGATTTCTTTTCCCACTCACCTTTCTTTCCAACGCCCATTCACCACCGAGGTTTGTGGTCACGTGTCTCCACCACCTCTTCTCCTGAGAAATCTGACCTCTCAGATCTCGATATCTGGCAGGGTTTCAGTCGGGGCAGCGGCTCTCTTTCCGGGGAGTTTTCTCCCTTCCTTGCTCCTTCGTCTGACATGGTAATTTTTGCAAAGTCCCCTGGCAAGGTTCTCCCTTCCAGGTGGACTAATTCTGCAGATCCTGTCTAATGTAAGGACCCACCCCACTTTACATCTTAAGAAGACAGAACTCTTGGAATATCTCTTCCAACAGGCATCTTTATTAAGAGAAAATGGTTGCAGGCATTCTAGACAGGATCTGAGGGACCAACCCCTACCATTCAAGGTTTTAAGTGTTCCCAAGCAGCCCCCACCCCACCGTCCTTCCAGCGACAATCCGAGGCATTATATTTCCACCCCCTTTTCCTCATGACCGGCAGAAGGGAGACTTCAGAGAGTAGTAGATGAAAGGTGATGGCCATATTGTTATGGTCAGTCCTCTTGGTGAGATCTACATTCAGTCCCTTTGAAATTTTAATGAAGGAAGTGAGAGTCATAAAACCCCTTTGCTCATCCCCCTTCCCCTTCGTAGTATGACTGAATCCAGAGAGGGCAGAAATGGGGTTTTCCATAGCTGATAACTAGAAATGAAATATAATTGGATTCTGACATCGGTTCACCCTGATAGTCTGCAGGAAAGTTACATGAATGGGAATGCAGCTCTTGATGGGATTATTTTAGGAGCATCATCCTGATTTATGTGAAACAGCATTTGATAAGACTAGTTGCATAAACTACAATAATTTTGCACACACTATCCAATGTGTTAACAATGTAATCCTATGTCTTTGAACTAGAAAATAAAGCCAGTTGAACTCTGAAGAGCTTATTTTGAGAAAATGCATTCTTGGCTAACTATCAGGCACTCCTTCCCCCATATGTTTTTAGTTCTCTTTTATAACAAGCAGACTATGTTTTGTTCAGTTGCTCCCTGGCTCTCAAGCAAGCTCTTTCTCTTCTCTTTCCCTTCCCTTCCTATAGAACCAATCCTACGTTTCACATGTTCTAGATCTGAAGTTCTACACAAAAGTTCTATAATTGAGTGAACATTTCTTCTGAATTTTGTTTCTTCTGCATTGATTTCAAATGTTGGAAAAATGTGGAAAATATTAACCTACATCTATTTCTCATTATTCTTTTTAGAAAAAAAAATTCAAAAGGGTTATAACTCTCCTTTTTTCTAAGGACAACTAACCTTTTTTGAAATATATGACATCATTTTGAGCTAAAATAGGAACTACATTCTGAATTTAGTAATACACAAATACTGTTACATCCCCCCAAAACTGCCAATGTTGTAAATGGTATTCAGAATTATAAAAAGTAAAGGGATTATTTGAGAGATAACGTTCATTAAAAAACACTCCAAAACAACTTAAAACACTCCAAAACAAACATATAGTTAGCTGTCTTGATTACCAAAAGGTGGACTATAAATTAAAAACATTAATAAATAAATAAAATGGAAGAAGCCTTTCCTCCATTTCTTATCCTTTCTTGACTAGCAAAGCCAGGAAAAAACTAGCTTTAGAAAACTGGTACTAGTTGGAATAAACACTATTAGCCTAGACCAGTGGTGGTGTGATGACTCAGGCCCCGAACAAAGGCAAAGCAATCAGTTGGCCAGAGCAATAGTCTTTTTAATCACTGCCAATGTTCACCCAACAGCCCCCACATATGCTGGCACGAGTTCAAACAAAACAGCCAGGGAAATTTACACTGTTCTTAAAGCAAGACAGATAACAAGCAAATGTATAATCCTTTTAATTCCCAGCTTGCCTGTGAACTGCGAACTGCATACTGCAGATTGCAAGGAGAGATCAGCAGGAAGCAAACTGGTCCAGAATACAAAGTGTCCAGGTTACAAGAGCACACTATCTTAAGATTTCATATTTGTTCCCGGCAAATGCCCCACCCACAGCATTCCTTAAATCCTACTCCCCAGGTGTGCCTTGTGGAGTGGGGCGGGACTCTCTCCTCCCAAGCAAGTGAGCCTGCTTCCGTTGTTCCCTCCTCTCTGCTCTCCTTGCTCTAGGATCAGGCGGGGATGGGCCTTTCTCCTCGCCTGAACTCTGCCTTCCCTGTTCCAAACCTGAAGGGCCCTGGCCTGCCTCAGCCTGCTCCTCCCCACAGTCCTCTGAAGCCACAGACACCCCCACCTGGGCCTCAACAGGGAACTCCATGTCTTCCTCAGAGTCAGGCTCGGACGGAGGCATGACAGGTGGTGAACTTATGGCACGGGTGCTAGAGGCAGCACTCAGAGCCCTCTCTGTGGGCATGCGTGCTGACACCCCACTCCTAGGCCTTCAGCTGGGTTTTATAAAAACTTTTCACTTTAGGCCTCTGCTGCCGTGTGCAAAAAAAAGGTTCAATCAATCAGTCAATTTCAACTTCTCGCGGGAAAAAAATCTTGCAAAGTTGGAATTGATTGATTGAACTTTTTAGTTCCACCCAGTCTGCCGTTACCACCGCAGCCACGCCCAGCCAATGAGTCATGCCCAGTCAATGGGCCACACCCACCCAGCACCCGACAATGCATAAGTGGGTTTTGAGTTACAGTTTGGGCACTCGGTCTCTAAAAGGTTCGCCATAACTGCCCTAGACAGAGCAGGGGTCTGATTAACTCAGCTACACATGTTCATAAAGGCTACTCTGCCAAATTAAAGGCATCCTTCTTTTGGATTCTGTCTGGAGATCCTCAAATTTTAAAATAATAGTTTATAGCTACATATTTCTTAGCTGGAAAGATTAACTTCCTTGTTTATTTCCTGAATTAGGTTGTGGAACACTAGTTTGGGTTGGCGCACCAGTGACCTTTCACAGGGCTGACACCATTACCGGAAAGTATAGCGTGTGGATGAAGGACCCACAACCTGTGTCTCCATATAGCAATGAGACAGTTTGGAGAGTTGACACCGTCAGTGCAGATATCCGCCATATCTTTGAATATGATGATATGGATGAGTTTGTGAAAGGCTATCCTTCCAAAGTGCATGTGTTGCCCAGATACATGGAGGGCACTGGGGCTGTTGTTTATCAAGGTTTCCTCTATTTTCAGAGGCACAAGTCTAGAATGCTGGTGAAATATGACCTGAAGAATGAAGTCATTGCAGTTCAAAAGGGGTTGCCCAATGCTGGCTATCATGGACAATTCCCCTACTCCTGGGGTGGATATACAGATATTGATCTAGCAGTTGATGAGATTGGACTGTGGGTGATTTATGGCACTGAAAATACCAAGGGAGCTATTGTGCTTTCCAAACTGGATCCCGAAACTTTGGAGATTTCACAGACATGGAAGACCAATATTCACAAGCAGTCTGTGGCTAACTCCTTCATGATCTGTGGCTCCTTGTATACCATTAGTAGCTACTCATCCCCTGAGGCTATTGTGAATTTCATCTACCGCACAAGTACAGGTAACACTGCACCACTGAAGATCCGCTTTGAGAACCATTACAGATACAGCAGCATGGTAGACTACAACCCTACAGAGAAGAAAACAATGGCTTGGGATAACTTCAACAAGGTGGCCTATGACACCAGACTTTCCAAGATGTGATTACCTTGGAGAGATTGATCATGGGAAAATAGATAATGGAAATAGAGCTAGAAATCTTGATAGCAAACTTTCTTCTCACTAATTATCAACAGGCATGAATCACCCAGAATTTCTCCTGAGCTAGCCTAGTGGAAATAAATAGCTATGCAATGTGAGATTGACTCATAATCCTTTTAATGAGTATATACAATAAAATAGTCTGTGAATTACACTTCACAGGTAATTTTCCGCTCTGTGTATCTTCTTTAAAACATTAGCCTATGCATGCTGCAGCCAACTATAACACAAAGGCATACACCTATCAAAATGATATAGATTCTCTCTTTTTTAATAATTTCTTTTTAGTTTTCCCTCAATAAACAAAGTTAATCCACTTAATAATTTGCTCATGAGAACATTCCTTTGATTGAGAAGAGGATTTAAGCCTAATATTTTGGTTGCTAGGCAGGACTGAATCAATTTTTTTACATTTCATTACATTTACAGTACATGCAGTGATTCAAATTACAGAGAAGCATAAAAATGTAGAATCATAGGGCTGGAAGTGTTGTGTCCTGGGCCTGATGAGGAAACTCAGCAGGCCCAGAATTGTTGCAAATGGTCCCGGGCATTCTAAAAGCTGCCCGGGACCAGACAAAGTGGCACCAGCCTTGTGTGCATGCGCAAGGCGCGAAGAAAGAAGACATCTTATTGGTTCACGCTGTCCAGGTTTCAAGCCCTATAAAAGGCCTGCGTGCCTTTTGTTTTTTGCTTGGAGTTGGAGTAGGAGAATAAAGCATTGTTGTTTGTCATCATGAGTCTTCATCATTCACCCACAAACGGAGAACACAACACTGGCGATGAAGAAGGGATTCTTTGCAAGCTAAAGAAAAGATTTAAGGACTTACTTAAGAAGTCCTGAAGAGGGGAAGTTGGCGTCTAAATCAGCGTCCCAGCCTGCCAGCATAGCGTTGCTGGAGGGAGAGCTCGGCAAAAAGACCCTTTCCCCGAGCAGCAGCTTGCAGAGGAAGCGAGTGGTGAAGATCGTAAACTTACAATGTCGAAGATTGGCTGCTTGGCTGATTTCGATGTCTCCCACCCAGAGAGATGGAACTCCTACGTTGCACGGGTGGAGAATTACTTCAGAGTAAATCAGATTAGAGAAGACGGCCTGAAGGCAGCCACCCTTTTGTGTGCCTGTGGACAAGAAGCCTTTGACATCGCAGAAAATCTGGTGGCCCCTGCACCTCTGGAGTCAGTGGCATACACTGACTTGAAGAAAATGTTGAAGGAACATTTCCAGCCGAAGTTATCTGTCATTGCTTGGAAGCACGCATTCGAGCAGAGAGACCAGAGGCTGGGTGAATCTGCTGTGGACTTTATTGCAGCCTTAAGGCAAGCAGCAAGACCTTGTGAGTTCTAGGATCTGGAAGAAAGGCTGTGAGATTGCTTTGTTTGCAATTTAAGGAGCAGAGACTTGCAACAAAAGATTTTTGCAAAGGAAGATGTCTCCTTACAAGATGCGTTGTGAGAGGTGGCAGCTGAGGAAGCAGCAGACGAGGCTGTGAAGGCCTTGCGCCTTGCCAGAAATCCTCCAGAAACAGTTACCGTCCATCAAGAGGACGCTCGAGAAGGATCAGAAGTGGATCCTGAAGAGGAGGTCGACAGATTGCACCAGCCAGCTGAAAGGAGGCAGAAGGGACGTCCGGTAAAAGCCACAGCATCTCTTCAATGCTTCGGGTGCGGAGGACATCACAAGCAAGCGGACTGCAGGTTTCGCTCCACCATCTGCAGGGCGTGTGGTAGGCAAGGCCACATTGCATCCATCTGTTTGGGTCACCAGAAGATTTAACCTCGGGAAGAATTGCTTCAGAAAGGTACCAGGGTCCCCAGCCAAAACAGGGTGGGTTTCTGCACAGAAGCATTCTAAGAACAGGAACACACAAGCCCCTTAAGAAGAAACTTTCCCTTAACGTAAGGTTGCAAGGGGTTCCCTTACTAATGGAGTTGGACACAGAGTCCGCTCTTTCCATTATTTCAATTAATACCTTTAAAAGGATTTGCTGCAGTAGTGGCCTTCGAGTTAAACTCAGGCCATTGAATCTAATACTCACTGACTTTCAAAATTCTATGGTGTGTGTTAAGGGGGAGGCCACCCTTAAGGTACAGTATAAGGATTTTGAAGGTTCCCTAGATGTGGTGGTTGTTGGGGGTGATTGTACGAGTCTTATTGGACTCGATTGGTTCGAGGGCCTGGGAATCCAGGTGACTGGGCTGCACAGTTTGCAAAGGCTGGGCCTTGCAGAGGTTTGCAAGGAGTTTGCAGATGTGTTTAGTTTAGAGCTAGGATCCTACAAGGGGCCTCCCATTTCACTACGGTTAGATCCAACCATCACGCCCATCAGGGTTAAGCCTAGGAGGGTACCTTTTGCCCTCAAGAGTAAGAAAGATGCTGAACTGGACAAATTGCTCCAGCAGGGCATTTTAGAACCTGTGGATTCTAGTCCATGGGAAACTCCCATAGTAACGCCTCTAAAGGCTAATGGGGAAATACATATATGTGCAGATTACAAGTGTACACTGAATAAGGCATTGCAACAGCACGCTTATCCAGTCCCTGTTGTAAGCCACATCCTGGCCTCCCTCAAGGGGGGGCGCATTTTTGCGAAGCTTGACCTGGCACAGGCCTATCAACAGCTACCTGTTGATGAGGCAGCTGCAGAGGCCCAGACTATTGTAACTCACAGAGGCACATTCAAGGTCAAGAGACTGCAATTTGGGGTCAATGTAGCCCCTGGCATATTCCAAAGTATCATGGAAAGCACACTTCGAGGTATTCCTGGGGTCTGTCCCTATTTCGATGATGTCCTCATTGCTGGGGAGTCATTTCAAAATTTAGCAGAAAGATTAAGGGCTGTCTTGCTTCGTTTTAGAAAAGCAGGCCTTAAGCTAAAGCAGGATAAATGCAAGATAGGAGTCACTTCCACTGACTTCTTAGGTTTCAGGATTGATGCCCAAGGCATTCACCCTGCTGAAGCTAAACTACAAGCTATTCAACAGGCCCCAAGCCCCAAGTCCAAGAGTGAGCTGCAAACCTTCTTGGAGCTCTTAAATTTTTACCATGGATTTCTCCCACACAAAACTGCAGTGGCAGAGCTGTTACATAGGCGCTTAGACAAGCAGGCTCCTTGGCAGTGGACTAAAGTCCATGACAAGAGCTTCAATGAGGTTAAGGTCTTGGTCACTTCTAATGCTGTTTTAGCGCATTTCAATGAGCAACTGCCTGTTTGCATCGCATGTGATACATCTCCTTATGGGGTGGGAGCAGGACTTAGCCATCTGAAGGCTGATGGGACACAAGTCCCTGTGGCCTATTATTCAAAGACTCTGTCATCTGCAGAGCGGAATTATGCTTAGATTGACAGAGAAGCCTTGGCCATAGTAGCTGGCATAAAGAAATTTCATGATTTCTTATATGGCCGCCATTTCACAGTCTATACAAACCATAAGCCTCTGCTAGGGTTGTTTACTACTAACAAACATGTTTGTAGAATTCCTTGAAAGAAATTCAGAGACGAGGTTCGGAGTAGCAGAATAAAGTTTCTTTTATTATCAAAGTTGAGTTTAGTAAAAGAAAACGGTTTGCAAAGCGTGGTGAAACTTAACCATGCACTTCCAAGAGTTACAGGGAAAAGCCACACCTCCTACAGAAGCGTAACAGCAGTTATACCCCTCCCTATCTCCTCCTATACCTACGTCAGCTATTCCTGACGTGGCAGGTCACAAACCTATCAGACGACACAATTATCCTACCTTACCTCCTACCTTACCATATATGGGTATTCTTTTGTTCTCTACATGCGGACATTCTCTACTTAGTTTCAGGCACGTACTCATGTTTTCTTGCACATGCTCAGTGAGCCTGTTGCTGAATAGAAAATTTTAAACTTTTCTAAAACCTTCCCATTCAATTCCCCCATTTCTTATTTGGTCACTAGTTTAATATTTTCTTTTATTTCATTTAACCTACTAGTTTCCTCTTTGGTAGTTTTCATTGGATGTGAAGTATTCATACTTTCCAACAACTGGATTTGGTCCTCAATTTCTTTTAATACCATTATGGACTTAGCATTTTGTTGGGCTTGTAATATACCATGGACTGAACTGTTTACTAGGTTCTTTATTACTGGAATCAGACAAGGTAACATCATTATTCCAATGAATATAATACATACCATAAACAGAGCCTGTTTCCAATTTCTGAATATTCCTCCCAAGAACCCTTCATCATCCAATATCCCTGTCCAAGTTTGTACAGGTACATGTGCAATCCTAACCATGTCTTTTGTTATCTGGTTAATTACCATGCCTGAATCGTCAATTTGTATACAGCAATTTGTTAAATTAAATTTTCCACAGGCACCTCCTTCCTTAGCCAACAAATAATCTAAAGCCAAGCGGTTTTGCATAATATATGTTCTGGACAAAACACTTTCTTTAGCCAACTTAGTTAAAGCCTCAGCTGTTCTATTGGTTATAATTTCTACTACTGCTTGTAATCGGATAATTCTGTTTAACATATAAATTGGGGTCCTATACCCCCAACTTCCATCTTGGGCCCAAGTAGCTGGATCATAATAAGCAATTATTCGTTCGGGTGGCCATTCATCATCTTTCCAATTCCCAATTTTTAACCCTTCTCCCACTTTAGCCACAGACCGCCTTACCAGGTTTCCCACATGTTCATAGGCAGGGACACCCAATAATTGTCTTCTTTGTAATGGCAAGAGGAAGAAAGAGGGTTGTATAGCACCCAGAATACAAGACCCAAACCATCCAGCAGGGAGAATATTATATGCAAATGCTCCGCAGATCCAATATAACCCATCAGGAGTGGTCCAGAGGAGGGTATCGTTTTCAGGATCTTTTAGGAAGGCAAGCTCGGGAATTAAAGATAAAGAGTTGTTAGGGACACTTTGATTCGTTTGTGATATCCAAGTATTGTTTTCCCAGGTATTCAA